GTGGCCTCCCCAAGAAGCCCCCGCAGCCTGAGTTTGGTGACCTCACCAGGACGTCCTCGGAGCCTGAGGTCAGTGTGGTTCCCAAGAGGCCGCAGCAGTCCGATTTCAAAGCGCTCTCCAAGAAGCCCCCGCAGCCCGAGCTGGGCGGCCTCCCCAGGACCTCCTCGGAGCCCGAGGTCAGCCTGCTCCCCAGGAATCTTCTGCAGCTCGAGGTCCGGGGGGCCCCCCGCAAGTTCTCACAGCCTGAGCCCAGAACTTTGCTCAAGAAGCACATGCAGGCTGAGTTCTTCGGGGGTCTCCCGAGGAAGCCCCCGCTCCCTGGCTCCGTCTCCGAAAGCTCACTGCCCACTGCCGTGGCGGGCTGCAGCCCCAGGTTCCCGCTCAGCCCAGGGTTTGGAGCCAGGCAGCAGAGGTCGGGGGCTCTCACTCCCAGCAGAGGGTCCAGGCTGGGGCTCAAACCCCGGCGGAGGCCTCTGCCCTCCGTCAGCATCCTGGGACCCCCTCCAGCCAAGCCCCCGCTGCCCCCGGGCCCCAGGGACATCCAGAGCTTTCGGAGACCCTCGGCGGCGGCCACAGGTGGGTCAGGGCGGCACAGGCAGCAAGGAAGGGGCAGGGGCTCCCTGGCGGTGCCTGCCCGCCTCCCTGCTGCTCCCGTCTCCCCACAGCTCTGCGGAGGACCCACTCTTCCACTGGGATCCACTTCCAGGCCCGCCCGTCTGCCGACGCGCTGAAGTGAGTGTGGGGAGCGAGGGGCGCGGGCGCAGGTGGTGTGGCCGGGGGAGGCCCTCACCTGGGGTATCTCCGCAGGGCCCCGGACGAGACCTACGAGCTGTACGACGACGTGGAGGCCACAGACGACTCCAGCCCCAGCCCCCGAGTCAGAGGTTTGTTGGTGGCGGGGCCGGGCCCACCACCTGCCAGGGTGCCTGAGGAGCATTCCGTGCAAGGGCATTTCCTGCCATGCCGCAGGTGTGAGGCCAAGCGACAGTCCACCTTCCTGGCAGCGCCAGGGGAGAAAGCAGAGGGGAGGAGGGGCCTTGCAGAAAAGTCACA